TGCCACTTGCATTTTTAAAATTGTTTAATTTTATTTTCCATCAGTTTTGTTTTTATTATGTTTTTATGAATATTGATCCATGACAGATTGGAAGTAAAAATGGCCCCCAACTGTGGTAGCTTGAGAAACATTGCTCTAAAATCTCTCTCGTTACCAGTAAGTGCTTCCTGGATGTTTAAGTGTAGTCTCCCTAGATGCCTAACAAAAAAGTTTATTTTGGGCTCATGGTTTCAGAGGTCTCAGCTCATGGTTGACCAACTCCATTCCTCTGGACCCAAGTAAGGCATCACAATATGGCAGAAAGGGGTGGTGGAGGAAGGCTTTTCAGCTCCTTGCAGCCAGAAAGCAGAGAGAAAGAGGAACCAGGACAAGATACACAATATACAAAGCCATATTCCCAATGACCTACTTTCTCCAAACACATCCCCCCTACCAATAGTGAAAACTCAGTCATCTATCCAAATTACTAATCCATCAAATGGATCAGTCCACTAATTAGGCTACAGCTCTCATAACCTAATAGTTTCACCTCTGAAATATCTATCGCATGAGTGTATTGAGAGGATATACCTGGTATCCAAAACATAATGAAGGTTAGGAGCTCTTTAATTCTCCATAATTCATGCTCATTGGTGAATAATCAAAAACAAATATACCAAGAAATACAGAGACATTAATTTTTGTCTGTACTAACAAACCTTGAAATCACAACCTGCTGTTAACTATTCATGGGGTTTAAGAGTAAAGTCAGTGTCATAAATAGACAGAAAATATCTGCCCAGCTATAAAAGGACATAGCTATATTACTAGCCTATTACCAACTAGTTGAATGGCCTTCGAAGTCATCACCAGTCCTCTAACTTCTGTTTTCTCCATTTGCTTAATGACAGGCATGGGCAAAACATCCCCTTAATTCTGGATCCATGTATTCTTGAAATATTAAGATTTTAAAAAATTAAATTAAAACATTCTTTTAGATTACAGTTATCACATGAGAAATTCTGAAAAGTTAAAAGTGTTCCTTGGTTCAGAGTGCTAATCAATCTTTTGAAAATGACTATCCATTTAAAATAAGTCATATGTGTAAATAAAATGGAAAGTAAAAATATAAGGATATATTGTATTTAAAAGTTTATTCCAGGTAAGTCTTAAATTCTACTGTCAACTAAATTCAAGACTAATACTGCATTTCAAAGGACAGAATTACTTAATAACACCACACAAAGTCTTATTCTTTCTGCGAATACAAATTAAGGAATGACCCCATCCAATGCTATATTGTTGCTCTGAATACAAATTAAGTAATTGGTCTTGTTGTTTGAATTTGGAATCAAAAAACAGCCTACTGGGCAATCCCTTATGTATTAAGCTCTGTATGTTTATGGCACATCTTTGAGTCACTGCAACGAATTCAACACATAGGGAATTAGGAAATGGATTTGAATAAGGATAAAGTAATGTAGTACTGCCTAGGGACAATGAGAAAATCTGCATAGCATTCAGGGACACTGGGGTTGACTGCTTGTGATTATTTAGCTTCATCAAAGGCAAAGGGGTGCAGAATATGGGACAAATTCCAACCCATTCATGGGACTGCCATGTGTTGTGGTCCCTCCTTGGTATGTTCTGATTAATGCAGGATTTTCCAAGCAAATATTTTTCATGGAACTTGAGCAGATCTTGATGTGTAGGACTCAGAAATCATAACTCCCACAAAAGTTATTCCCTTTTCTCAGTTCTTTCTCAATTCTGATTCTTCCCAGTTGGAGGGAAAAAATACAACTCAGTCTGGTGCTAATATGCTTCTAACACCTCTCTTAATTAAGAATCCCCTTTGTAACAGAGAGAGAAAGAGAGTTAACCAGGAGTGTCAAAGCCTTCTGCAAACAAACAGTTTCTTGCTATAATTTAATAACACTAATTCGTTTGCTGTTCTTATAGTAACCTTCTATTTATAGCAAGTGTTGCTGGCTTTTAAGTTATGGTAGCAACATACAGTTATGTTTTTAAATGAGTTTATTCAAGCCCTACAGGTATTTTGATTTAGAGAAAACTTTTAAATAAATAGTACATGACAGGCAAAACATTTCTAAGATGTGATATGCAAATGATTGAAGCTTGGTTTGTAACAGTGGGCTGGTAGAAAATACCCTGAGCAGGAAGATAGGAAACTTGGTCACATCTAATTCTAACTCTCTCACTAATTATCAGATTGTCCTTGGGCAAGATGATGAATCTTTCATGCCTCCATCTCCTCATTATCCAATAAATATTGTGAAATTTGCTAAACTACATTTGAAGTGATGATGTGAAGATTAAAATTGATGGATAGTGAAAAACTATAAAAGTTGAAAGTTTTATGTACATAAGGTTTATTATTATGTATCTGAAACATCACTTTTTTTTCTTTTTTATTACCCAAGTGCTTGCCCTCAAAAAAAAAAAAATGCCCCACAACTATTTAGGAAAAGATAATATTATCTTTTAAATTTTAAAGATAATATTATCTCTTTTTCTAAGATCATGAAATTTACTGGTGGTAGTGATAGTGGCTAGTGTAGGGGTGGAGAGAAAGTGAGATCATGAGTACAGTTAGTTCTACATATATACCATTCCAAAATATTAATCTGTAATTGTTTTTTAAATAAAGAATATATGTTCACTTTTACCCTGGTGCATAGCACACACCTGTTAATCCCAGGAGCTTCTGAGGCTGAGGCAGGAGGATCATGAGTTCAAAATCATCCTCAGCAAAAGCAAGGTGCTAAGCAACTCAGTGAGATCCTATGTCTAAATAAAATACAACAAACGGCTGGGGAATATGTGGCTCAGTGGTCAAGTGCCCTGAGTTCAATCCCAAGTATCAAAAACCAAAAAGGAGTATATATTTATTTTACTATTTTACATTGTGACAAACAGCTTGAAAGTAAATTATGTTTAAAAAAATGAACCCAATAATAGATCTTATTCATCTTAGGTCATAATATTTTAATTAAACCTTATCTGAATATTTAGAGGTATTAAAAATAATCGTATTTTGTTTTGTACCAAAATTGTTTTCGAACCTGAATAAAATATTTGGAATCTTGTTTTTTGTACTTTTTCACTACATTTGAAGTAGCAAATTTTCTATTAGTAGGATATCATCTCATCACAAAAGATATTTTATTATTACTTAATGCCATTTCCTATAGACTTCAGAGTTTCTTTTCCCAATTTAAATATCTTGTTGATACTTGAATTTAGTTGTTGTTTGTTTAAAATATAATGATCCAATTAAATGTCTGATACATTTTTATATTAATGATTAATCATGTCATCATGGCTGTCTTGTGTTTTGACAATACAACTAAGTTTCAACATATGTCCAATTAAATTTGAAATCATTCACATATAAATTAGAGAATATTCATTCATTGAATACTAGCAATTGTGATTTATTTCCCCATTCTATTAAGCAAGGCTTATTTAAGCAGTATTGCTGCTGAATTAGAAATGATAGACATCATGATTTTATTTGCATAGAAATATTCATGCTTGGTCTAGGACAGCAATTCTCAAACTTGAGCAGCTATCAAAATCACCTGGAAGGCTTGTCAAAACCCAGTTTGTTTGACCCTCACTTAGATTTCTGGTTCAATAATTCTAGGTAGGGCCGGAGAATTTGTGTTTCTAACAAACTCCCAGGTGAAGCTAAGGGGGATGCTATGGTTCTGCGACCACACTGTGAGACCCTCTGGTCTAGCAAAAGGCAATAGCAGAGTGAAGAAGCCATGGCTAGATGATAGGCCAAGATATCTGCTCTGGCTTTGAAACTTGTAATCTGTGCCATGTGGACAATTTAGGGATAGATTTTTATCATCCATAAAATGGTAATTTATTTTTTGAGACTATTGAGTGAAATAATGTGCATAAGTGCTAAGAACAATACCTCAAAGGCAATCCCGATAATTAGAGGTGATGATAATTAGACTGCAAATAGTAACAATAGTGGCTGGAAAACAATCCAGTAGCACCATGCCCCATCTGTTGTAACACTTTCTTGGGTTTTAATTATCTGTGGTCAACCACAGTCTAAAAAATAGTAAATGGAAAATTCTAGAATTAAGTTCATAATAATTAATTAATAAAGTTTAAAGTGCAATCACAATGAAATCTTTTTCTATCCTGCCTTGTCCTGTCTCTCTGTCCAGTGTATCCATGCTGTATATGCTACTCACTCTCATTAGTGGCTGTCTCAGTTATCAGATCAACTTTGGCAATATTTAGTAGTTTGTTCTACTAAATAATGGCCTCAATGCACAAGAATGAGTAGTGATGCTGATAATTTGGATATATCAAAAAGAAGCTGTAAAATGCTTTATTTATTTGAAAAGATGAAAGACTATAACTTAAGAAAAATAAATCCTATGATGATGTTGCATAGATCTAGAATAAGAATAAATATTTTATCCATGAATCCAAGAATTTTTGAAGAAAGAAATAGAAATTCGTTGCTAATTTTGCTATTGTACTTCAAACTACAAAAGTTAAGCCACAGTTTAGGCTGGAAATGTGCTTCAGTGGTAAAGCACTTGTCTGACATGTTTGAGGCCCAAAATTTTATCCTCTGCAACACACACACAAAAAGGAAAAATATTAAATTATAGAGTTCAATGACATCTGTGGCTTCAGGCATCCCTTGGTGGATTGGTGGTCTTAGAATAAATCCCCTGTGGATAAGGAAGGGCTACACTATCCCTATTTACCTTAGTTCAATCATTCCTCTTTTCTGAGGATACACAGAGAGCTTGACTTTCAATGATGACATTATTTCTATGAAAAACTTTCTGCGTAAAAAAAGGGACTTCAGTAAAAAGAAATAATACTCTTGGTGAAAGCACTTTCAAGAGTGGATTGGAGATTAGAATCTAGATTGCAGTTTAAGCAGGGATCTCTTCACTTGGGAGATGATTCTTAATATTCAGAACTTACTGCATTTGTTTCTTTCCTTCCCTTAGCAACAAGAACAAGATCCAACAAATCTGTACATCTCGAATCTGCCCATTTCTATGGATGAGCAGGAGCTTGAGAATATGCTGAAGCCCTTCGGACATGTCATCTCCACAAGAATACTGAGAGATGCTAACGGAGTCAGCAGAGGTGTTGGCTTTGCCAGGTAAAACGCTCGCTCTGTATGTACCCTGTCTTTCCTCATTGTTCCTTTTAATTCCAGTCCATTCTAACACTAGGGCTTTAAGCAATAGAATATGTAAAATCAGATTTTGAAAAATAGCTTATCAAATCTGTGGGTATCTCTGTGTCTTTGGTTACACAAAAATACACTGGGCTTAATAAAATATATACATAGAATGTGCTTATGTAACTGGAGTCATAATGGTATGTATACCCAGTTCAAAGTCTTCTCTATGTATTTAGATCAACCAAATCAGATGGTGCCAATTCTGGTCAGGTATCATAAATACCCAGTTTGTACAGTGTGCAAACCCTTTGAGTGTTTTTACACTGATTTCTGTAGAAGAGAGGTGTTGGATTTCTCAGTTAGGAGAAGAGAGAAGAGAGGAAATATTTAGAGAAACACCAATTGTTGGGAAGTCCCAAGGAACCCAGAAATAAAAGGTAAGGTCAAGGAGGTATTTGCATTTAAGAGGCACCGGCTGTGTGTTTTTGATATTTTTGGCAGAACAGGAAAAAAAAAATTGTATTTCTTTCATTGTTGGAAAAGAAAGAGTAGTTTTCATTTTAAGTCGAAGGGAATGTTTACAAAAGAGGATCTCAGCCAGAAACGAAGTTAAAATGATCATACCTGCTGTGCTTTCATGAAAAACAAAGCCAAAGAAACCACAAGGAAAAGGAAAATGCTGAATGACAAAAAGGGAAATTAAAATCGGCATATCCATGGCTTGGTGTGTTTCTGTATGTGTCTCCAACTGACTTCATAGGGATGGGTATTCTGTGCCATCAGGAATCTGGGATGTTGCAGACAGATGTGTCCATCTAGGGTGCACCCCGTCATCACTGGGAGAAACATTGCAAACCAAGTTCAAGGCTACATTGGAAGATAACAAATGTAATGAAAATGTTAATTGATCTCTGACTTGACTTGAGCTCATGGGCCATATCTCAGAATTCTTTTTATTTTTGTTGATGTTCTACATGTAGTAGACCAGTAGATATATGCTAGGGATGTGTGCTTGAAAGTTAGAAGAAAGATAAGCAGAATGAATCTCTCCCAAAGTGAATATATGTAGAAGCATTCAGGCTTCCAGAATACTGATGACTGTTGACTTCATAGTAGAGACAGAGCAAATGACACTCTTGGGTCTCTGAGTTTTGCCAGTGTAGTCATTTTTGGATAGTGTACAACCTTCTCTCAGAGGCCAGTACAATGTGGGAGTTCACCAAGTGACTGCTATGTTTGGTTTTACACAGCATGCACATTCCTTTGGTTCTTCCCCCATCGCCTGCCCTCCCAAAACTCTCTAATAAATCTGCTTCTCCTTTACTTGTACTTCAGCTGAGAAATAAATGTATTTCAAATTCACCAAGAGAATACAGTTTCTAACATCTATTGTGATTTTTTTTCTCTTTTTTGGGTACAATGCATAATAGTTTGCTTGGGCTGACATAACAAAATACTGCAGACTGAGTAGCTTAAATAAGCAATTTTATTTTCTCATGATTCTGGAGGCTGGATGTCAGAGGTCAAGATATCTTCAGGGTTGCTTCTTACAAAGCCTACTCTGATTTGCCAATGGCTGTCTTTTCCCCACATGCATATGGTCTTTCTTCTGTACCTATCTGTGTCCTGCCCTCCTCTTCTTCTAAGGGCACAGTCACACAGAATGGGGCCTCATTTGAACTGAATTTCCTCTTTAAAGGTCCTGTCTCCAGATACATTCACATTCTGAGATACTGAGGGTTAGAACTTGGGGGTGGTGCAACTCAAACTATAACTCAAAGATTGAGAATTTATTTCTCTCTTTTTAGTTTGTTCTAATTGTTATACATGACAGTAGAATGCATTTTGATTATGCCATACATAAATGAGTATAATTTCTCTTTCATCTAATTGTACATGATATAGGAGCATACTGGTTGTATAGTCATATATGCATGTATGGTATTAATGTCCAATTCATTCTACCATCCTTCCTACTCCCATACACCCATATGCCCTCCCCTCCCTTCACTCTCCTCTGCCTAATACAAAGTACCTCTGTTCTTCCATAACCGCCACCCCCAACACACACACACTTAATTGGGGATTAACATCCACATATTAGAGAAAACATTCAGTCTTTGTGTTTCATTTTTTGTGTTGTCTTATTTTGCTTAGCATGATATTCTCCAGCTCCATCCATTTTACTGACAAATGCCATAATTTCATTCTTTTTGAAGGCTAATATTCCATATTGTATGTATACCACATTTTCTTTATCCATTCATCTGTTGAAAGGCATGTAGGTAGGTTCCATAGTTTAGCTATTGTGAGTTGTCCTGCTATAAACATTGATGTGGCTGTATCATTGTAGTATGCTGATTTTAAGTTGTTTGGATATAAACCGAGGAGTCATCAGATAGCTGAGACAAATAGTGGTTCCATTCCAGGTTTCCTAAGGAATCCTCATACTGCTTGCTTTCCATAGAGTGTGCACCAATTTGCAGTCCCACCAGCAATGTCTGAGTGTACCTTTTTCCCCACATCCTCGCCAACATTTATTGTTGTTTGTATTCTTGATAACTGCCATTCTGACTACAGTGAGATGAAATCTTAGAGTAGTTTTGATTTCCATTTCTCTAATTACTAGAGATGTGCATTTACTTGTCTTTTGCCAATCTTTGCTGTACAATTTGATTTTGCTTTAAGTGAAGCTTGTTCTTATAAAGTCCAGAGCCAAGTAATATATGTCATGAGATCAAAGCAGAAATTATGGTGTATGATGTCATGAAAAGAGTAAAACATACAAAGTTATTTTTCTTTAGGAATGGAAGAAGGGTGGAAATATTAAGTTGATATTCTATCCCTGCTCTGGAGGTAGCCTCTTTCTCCTCCAGTGTATTTTGCATGTAGAAGTCACAGAGAGCCCTTAAAAATTAAAATCTGATTATGTCAGGGTCCTGATGACAGTGCTTCAATTCAGCCTGGGTGATGTCATTTGCAACCTTTCCACATCATCCCTGGCCTCACTCACATCTCAACTCTTAGGTATCCACTTGAATGTTTTTATTCAAAGAGTACTTCATTGGCCTCCAACCCCAGACTGCAAACAGCATTAGTTGCCTTTGTTACAGCTCATATAAAATTTTTGCTTGTTTATCTTTCTCAAAAATTTATCATAGTTGCAATGAATTTGCTATTTAATTTTGTCTTTACCCACTGGATTGCCTATGTGATTCTTTAAGTCAGGTTTCCTTTTTCATTGTTGGATGGATGGATGGACAGTTAGGTGGGTGGTGGATTTCATAATTACCATTCTATCAAGTTCCTGAATAGAGAAGCTGAAAGGAGCTTTGGAGATGAATTATCTGTCACATTCCTCTACTGAAACTTAGAACTCTGTGCTGTAAATCATGGATTTCCCAATTGCAGAAAGTGGCAAGTGGATTGAAAAGGAAAACGTAGGTTCAAGTCACACCAATGATTTCTTAGGCCTTAGAAATGAAAAAGAAAATGTGAGTCTGCTTCTCTCTCTTGTAAAAAGTCAGGAAATTGACAAGATGAGTATTTCATTCACCATGCATCTTCGCCTGTAAATTCAGAGGAGCAAGATCTCATATGATTAACCTAACTTGATGAAGTGAGAAAATAATTTTAGCCCTACCATATGTAGATAGATCTGCCCAAATTCCTACTTCATCGACATTTGTTCTGCATTTTCTGTAACAAAGCTATTATTTAACTAAGTTGATTTTTCACAACCTAACCCTTACACAGTGCTACTCCCCTTTAAAATATGGTCCCCTTCCCTTTTTTACTCAATCCTTCTCATCTAGAACTACACCTCCGAACCACAAACCAGACAAGATGATTTAAGCCTTGATTTTTCTCGATTGTCTCCAGGATGGTACCTACCAAGTGAGAGAAGTTACTGGCTTCCATGCAGATGTCTTGGAACAGTAGTTCTTCAAGGATGATTCTCAGATCAGCAGTTTCAGTATTATCTCAGGACTTTTTAGAAAATTTTTCATCACTGATCTCCTGAAGCATCAGCCTGGTGATAGGGTGGACAACAGTGGGGAATCAGTATTCACAAATACTTCAGGTAGTGGTGGTGCTTGTGGAAATTTGAGGAACATTGCCTTAGCTCATTAGAACCTATTGTCTTGATCATATGGGAGGTCTGAAAAATCTCAGACTGTCGAGCCTCACTCTTGGAGTTTCCAATGCAGTAGGTGTGGGGTGCCACCCAATTATTGAACTTCTAATAAGTTTCTGGGTGATGCTGCCACTGCGATACGGGACCCAGACTTTGAGAGCTGTTGCTCCATGGTCACCAGTTCTGCCGATGGAAGTGCTTCCTATTGATGGCTGTATCATACCACAAGTCACTTTCTCAGAATGTTCCACTCATGACTCTGTCTCCTGTCCCATTCCTCAGGGCTAGAGACCATGCTTTATTCTTCATTATATCTTTCCTAGGACCTAGAATGTTTTCTCACATATAAATGGTCTTCAGTAAATTATTGATGGTTAAATGAACTCTCTTTAAGTTTCTCTTTTTGTTTGTTTTGACTATAGAAAAATGAAGAATAAAAGGAGAGAAAATTATGGACATGAATAGAGAAGGCAGAATATCAAATACCATCAACATATGATGCCAATGATTAGCCAGTTCTAAGCCAGGGAGTACTAGAATGTTAGAGAAAACTACAGTGGCATCAGCTCAACTTGTACTGGTTGATAACTTTCTTCCTCTAAATATTCACAGTGCCACATTATTAGAAGAATATGTTTATTCATTTGGGAGAACAGCTAGCCTATAAATGGGTCTAGTAAATTATTGTACGTGTCTATTGAATTTATGATTATCACAATTGATAAAACCTGAATCATTCTTTCAGCAGGCTTCCTTTTGAATGTTACCATTGGTCACTTCTCACCACCAGATGTGGTCCTTCATTCATGTACCAGAGATCCTGAAATTACTTTGACTG